GAATTAATGATACTGAAGATAGGCAATGACACAGATGGAAGAAGAGAGACCTGAGCATAAAGAAAAATGAAAGAGCTGCAAAAGAACTATCTGACTATATCTGAAAAAGCAATATTAGACTAATAGGCATACCAGAAGAAGAGAGGGAGAAAGGAATGGAGAGCCTATTCAAGCAAATAGTGGATGAGAACCTCCCAAACCTATGGAAATAACTAGATCCTTGAATCCAGAAAGCAAACAAAACACCTAGTTACCAGGGATATTTCTTAATTATGGGCACTTCTTTTCAAAACAATGACCAATTCTCTAAATTGGAACCTCCCTTCAAATCAGTGTTTTACTATATTCAGTGTTTCTTACTCAGATCTTTATGAGTATTACTGTATTTACACCATTAGGGACCAATCTAGCTTATTTTATCATAAATACATATTTCGGGGGATTGCTAGACATCTCTGCCTCAATAGTCAGCCCAATGGAGCTGGGATTTTATGAGCATCATGTGACAGAAGTCACAGCAGCTGACTCGAGTCATTTAGCCAGTCTGGAATCCAGAGGATGTGTTGGTTTGAAAGGTGCATTCTCTTTTATCAATTCGAACTTAACCTTCAGGACACAGCTCAGACACTAAACATCTGTTGATTCTTCTGCTTTTCTAAGTCTTGCTTCCATAACACTAGTACCATAAGAGAACTCATCATAACCAGTTAAATAATGCCAGTGTGTTCAGGTGTCTGTTTTTCAAAACAGTTTATGGAGAGCAGAGAATTTTTTTTATTTATCAAGCATCTATTATATGCCAGTTACTATAGAACATAGATATCCTTATTCCCTCATTACAGATCAGTAGTTTACACGGTTAGTAGGTGAAAGAATCAGGATGCAAAGCTGGCTATGCTGTTGTCCAGTCAGAGTTCACCTGAAGCAGGATAACACCTTAACAGTCATCAACTGCAACTACAGCCCTCTTCTTTTCAGCTGCCCCTCACTCACTAAGCCGCCAACTTCATCTTTAAGGAGAATCTTTCTAAGAGACATGTCGCTTTTTCTGTCTTCTTATATTTATTTGTCCATTCATTTTGTATGTAATATATACTTATGAGGTAACTACAGTTGTCCACCCTTATTCATGGGGGATACATTCCAAGACCTCCAGAGGATGCCTGAAATTGGCTAGTACTGAAACTTGTATATACTGTGTTCCTTCATATATATATACATACCTATGAAAAAGATTAATTTATAAATTAGGCACAGTGAGAGATTTACAGCAATAACTTATCATAAACTAGAACAATTAAAACAATCCTATATAATAAAGAACTAATATGCTAATTAGACTGGAAGGCAGAATGACCTTCCAGAACAACCAGTGGGCAGGGGACGGGGCCTCAAGGCAGCCGGGGCTGAGAGGACCGAGGCAGCCAGGGCTGCAAAGGCCGAGTCCCTTGCATGAATTTGGTGTATTGGACCTCTAGTATACTATAATAAAACTTATGTGAATGTGGTGTCTCTCAAAATATCTCTTTGTACTGTATACACAGTATGGCTACACTAGAAAAGGGATGATTCATGTCCCAGGTGGGACAGAGTGGGACAGTGAAAGATTTCATCATGCTATTCAAAATGGTACACAATATAAAACTTATGAATTGTTTATTTCTGAAATCTTTAAGATTTCAGATGGTGGTTGACCATGGATGACTGAAACCATGAAAAGCAAAACCACAAATAAGGGGTACTACCATATATAACTGGCCTTGTTCTATTGCATAGCATAAAACAGACAAAAATTCCTGTCATCATGAAGTTTGTATTTTCACCAAAGAGACAGACAAAAAATAAATAACATAAAATATATATATGGCTTGTGTAGTATATTACAAGGCAGTAAATACTAAGGTAAAATGAAAAGTAGAACAAAAGAAGGAAGTGGGGTGCATGGATGGGGGATAGTATTAAATAAGCAAGTCAGGTTCAGGCTCCTAGAAAAATTGAAATTTGTACAAAGCTCTGAAGAAAGTGTACTCCAGGCAAAAGGAACAGCTAGATAAATGCCCTAAGGTAGAAGTGTGTCTGGTGTGTTCTAGAATTATCAAGTCTGTGAGTGTCTAGAGAGGAATGAAGGAGGGAAATATTAGCTAATAAGGGAATGATCCTTTAATGTAGAAAGCCTGCCCCTGCTTTGCCAGAATGTATACAAGGAACTCCCAGTGCCTCCAAACTGATTATTTGGATGGTCTTTTTGCTCAGTAGTCCTAGCCCACATTTGTCTTCATAGAATTGTCTCCAAAAATCACTGGCATCCTCTGAGCTTAGAACATTCCTTCAGCCAGGTTCAGCCCACTCACTCATATGGGCCCACTCATGAATCATTATTTCTATAGTGTTTCTAGTTTATCCATTCATTTATGTTGGCCATGGTCAAAAGCAACAATGCATAGCATGTACTCACGTGTGTTTGTTGAATGAATAGATATATGAGTGAGTTAGTGAATGAATGAATGAATGAATGAATGGAGGTGGATTGAATCTTATGACACAGATGGATATTCCCACCTCTAAATAAACTTGTATTCTGGGTGAGTGAGTTAGTGAATGAATGAATGAATGAATGGAGGCGGATTGAATCTTATGACACAGATGAATATTCCCACCTCTAAATAAACTTGTATTCTGGATGTAGGAGAAAGCTCCACATTTACTTATGTTGAATTAAGTATCTGGAATATGGTTGAGTGCTGATTAAATATTAATTCTCTTTAAATGTATTCATTTTTTCGTCAAAGTAAGAGAAATCAGAGAAGTTTTTTTAGTAGCTTCAGAGACATTCTCTGGCTCATATTAAAAATATTTTGCTCCACCTTGAGCAGAGTGACCAGTTAAAATGTATTTAAACCTAATCTCAGAAAAAAAATTATTAACTTTTTAGTGATATAATTTTGTCTAGAGTATCCACAGTGATTTCATTGCGCTGGTACAAACTTTAACTTCAAATGTCAACTACGTAATTATTCCCTTTGTTGGATTTAAACTTGTTTAAAGTGGTGATTTGTTTCCTCAGCTCTTCTGTAACCTAGATTGTCTGTGGCATTTACTGTTGACATAGTGAATCAGAGTCCCTGGATTTGTTTTAACCTTTTCTTTCTACAGTATGGAATGACTTCTATAGTACTCTAAGTGCAGTAGATTGATTCTAGCATGTGGCTATGAGACTTTTGTAACTATATTCTTAAGCACCCTGTAATCATATATAAATACAAAAGAATAGGGTTAGAAAACAAGAGCGGATATGAATTTTGAATTTCAAAGGAAAAGCCAAATAGGTGCATTTTATTTATTCTAGATCATCATTTGCTTGTTAAACAATTTTTTTTTTAATCTGAGGCAAACAGATACATGTATAGATCTGTGGAAGTCAGAGCATCAATAAAGAATAATTACCCTCTTTAGTAGGAAATTAGTTAACACTAATTTTAATTGTTCTATCAACTTAAATCCATTTTCCATTTATATTAACAACTATTATATTTAATTTAGCAAAAATCATTTTATTCCAAATATAACTTCAGTACTGAGCCAAACCGGTTTCGGCAACAACTATTATATTTAATTTAGCAAAAATCATATTATTCCAAATATAATTTCAAAGGTGTTACTTTATAATTTACTATGCCACTATTTCTCCATTAACTAATCATCTTAAGAGCACATAGTTCTACTTAATATTTAATAAAAGCATAGTGAAATGGAGTATTTTTTAAAGTGTTTTTTTTATTATTTTTGTATAAAGTGCCAGGTAGGTTTTTGGTTTTTTTTTTAAATCATAAAACAGGTGTTCCAGTTTTTTAAATTAGATTACTAGGTGTGTGTGGTTTAAAAAAAAAGTCTTACACCAAGAAAGTTACAGAAATTTTCTGTTTTTACTAAAAAAATCACTTGATGTGTATCTTCCTGAGTAATATGCATGTTAATTATCATTATAATTTTAAAATGCAAGAAAAATATTTGCTATAAGTATTATACTGAATGTATTTAATAAAAGCATAGTGAAATGGATATTTTTAAAAGTGTTTTTCATTACTTTTATATAAAGTGCCAGGTAGGTTTTTGGGTTTTTTTTCTTTGTTTTTTTTTTCATAAAACAGGTGTTCTAGTTTTTTAAATTAGGTTACTAGGTATGTGTGGTTTAAAAAAAAAAAAAGGCTTACACCAAGTAAGTTACAAAAATTTTGTTTTTACTAAAAAAATCACTTGATATGTATCTGAGTAATATGCATGTTAATATCATTATAATTTTAAAATGGAATAAAAATATATGCTATAAGTATTATACTGAATGCATATTCAATCGTATTCTG